CTATAACTCATGTACATTACTTTCCAAACTTTGACAGATTAGCATATACAGAGTTTTTCCTGGCTCAAAATGAGGCGGAGGTGGTACTATCCTGATCATGTGCACACATTATACCCACCGTTCAACTGGCTGAAACAAACACTTTTTACACGCAATGTGTGTTAGGTGTTCTAATTATTAGATGATTGAAGAAAACGACAATTATCAAGTAAAATTTTACCAAAACAAACCTGTTGAACATTAAATTAAATACAACATAAGAGCTAAACGGGGTCCTTTTGCAGTGTAGGTGAACATAAACAACATGAAATTGAAAATCTTTTTCCAGTCCTTGTAGTCTCCTGGTCCACTTATTATAAAGTGTCTTTCTAGAAAACAAAAATGTTCTTACAACCTTATGTAAATTCTTTTGACTGAATACATCATGAAATTTAATTGCAGCAGGGTAACAGGTGCATTAGAGCTAACATTAGCATCAAGCTATATAATACTATTTATAAAATTAATAGTACGCTTTACTCAAGTCTGACTTCAAACCACCATCGAGTGTTTGTAACAAATTCCAAATGCGATCTATCTAATGTAGATTTTGTGTGTCATATCCACCTTATTTTTCAACGCGGAAGTAAGCCATTTTCTGTGAATGTGCAAGACTTCTGGTTCATTAGCCCTGTAGGGAAATAACGAGAAGTATAACAAAGGGCAGTAAACCGATTGCACTACAAACATGTGTGTTCATAGTTAAGATAATACATTAAAATAATATGGTAAGACACACCAGTTTGCAATGTCAAGCAGCAAAACAAGCTGTATTGTACAGCTAAAAATAGCTGGAAGTGGATGACACCGGAAGCCAGACCCATTCAATTTACAAAAGGCCGCGGCCGCTCTTACAGGAAAAATACAGTGGATAATGTTGTTGAAATTTGTTATTTGTAGCCTTTTACACTAAGCTAATTGCTACACCAGCTTATGTAGGAATAAAACTGATATATGTTTGTGGTTTTAAATGTCAAAATAGCTAGGTTTTGTAAACCCTATATCAAAGATGAAATGATCATCAGCAATTGCTGGCACTGGACTTTTCCCTCATATCATTACAAAAGTTAAAAGCATTCAATCCAAAAACACCAGAGGACCAAAAAGATGCATAAACCCAAAGACCGCACTCATATGTAATCATTCATTTAAATCCAAAACTACAACTATTAATAGGGAGTTGGTCCTCCCTTCGCAGCTATAAAAACTCCCACTTTCTAGTAGATTTTCCAGTAGATGTTGAAACAAGGATGGAGGGATTTTCTCCCACTGAGACACAAGAGCATCAGTGAAGTCAGGCACCGATGGTAGGCTATGGGTTCCGGTTCACAGTTCAATTCATCCCAAAGGTGTTCAAGGAGAGACCTTGTAATCTTTTAGGGCGGTTCAGTCATAGTCGAACACATGGTGGGGATTCTTCAAGTCGAAAAAGTTAAGAACAACTGTTCTATACAAATCACAGAAATTAGACAACAAACCTAATTGTTTATATGGATATAAAAAAGATTCACCATTGAGAATCAGTTAAGAGGCTTAAAGCTAGTTATACCCAAATTGATTTGAATCAGCTGGCCTTTGATATATAGGTCACTCCACCTTAAGCCTCTCCTTGTGATGATCACTGCTGCAGCAGAGGCATGTTACAGCCCCAAAGAAGGAATTATTAATAATCAGAGGGGTCAATGGTAAAGGTTTCGGGCTGTGCTGTACACAACGCAGAGTCACACATCACACACACACACACACACACAAAAAAAAACACATGCGTTGCATCATGCCGCCTCTAGTGACTCAATAACCTATGACTGCCATGAGGAACACTGAACAGTATTTAATTGTCCTCCCTTTTCAACAGGTGCACTTCTGCCATTTCAGTTTAGAGATCATGTGTCAGAGTGCATAACAGAAAGAGGTGAGAGATTTCACATGTTTCTCAAACACCTGCCTATGTCAGCTGGCAGGTCAGGAAGCATTTGTTCTTCTGAGCTTTTACACGGCCTGTGCCGGGATGTCCTACGTATTAAATAAAGTTAATACCCAAACAAGCACTCAAAATATGCAAATCAGTGTCTAACACAAAGAAAGCTGAAATCACATTAATGTTGACAGACAATACTGAATCTAGTTCTCTTGGTAATACACCAACTCTTGCTTGCGAAAAGCAAATCATTGCTCATCACCGATTACACAAGGCTAGTTCTCTCCAAATCTGACTAAAAAGGATAGGTCTATTCATCATATAACATTCACATCGCTTTCTAAAAGACATGTAGATCAGTGAACGGGTCCGCAACCATTGTTTTATGTGGCAGATAATTACAGTCTACATATGAAATGTTACTATATATATATATATATATATATATATATATATATATATATATATATCTTCTGGAGCACCATTCCCGCACTCACACA